AGATTTTTGGTTATTAGCCAGATTTTACAACTTAGTTATCAGTATCTGTAAAAGTACCAGCCGATTATTGGTTATTAGCCAGATTTTACAACTTAGTTATCAGTATCTGTAAAAGTACACTGTAAAAAATAAGTGTAATTTTAACTGTAAAATTTTGTCAAAATGCTACGGAAAAAAACTGTTAATAGGTTAGCAGTAAGTTCCCGTACTATATACAGGGAAAAACTGTAAAATATCTAACCAGACATTTCATGTAATTTTACAGTAAAATGCTGTTAATTTGACCGTTTTTAGAAGTAAAAATAACAAATCAATGTATAATTTACAGTCAAAAACTGTAAACTGATATTCCCAGAATTCCCTGCATGACACTCCACATTTGAAAGTATTTTGTTTAAATAATCATGTTTTTTTAATAGTTTTTGTTATTAGTTATGTATATTTGGGCTTTATGTTACATCTTCTGTTGTTTAATGAAAGTTTAATGCATTATTTAAGTATCGTGTGTTACCATGATGGTGTTTTGTGTTTGCATGAATGACTCTGTGCACCTTCTATATATTAGTATATACTTCTGCTTGTGGCGAAGCTACTTGTGATGAGCTTTGATTCTTCATGTGGCTTTCTCTTTTACCACCTGCATTATTATGGTGGTTGTCAGTATGTTAAAGGTACAAAACAGATTTTAATAGCAGTGTGCATTGTTGAATTTACTGGTTTACATTCAAATTTTCTTGTTTGTAAATTACAGTTTTATACTGTCCACTCAGAACGCCTAAAAACTACTGAGAACACTATAGCATCCGCATCCACTCAGAACACCCAAAAAACTACTCAGAACACTATAGCGTCCACTCAGAACACCCCAAAAACTACTCAGAACACTATAGCATCCGCATCCACTCAGAACACCCCAAAACTACTCAGAACACCATAGCATCCACTCAGAACACCCCAAAAACTACTCAGAACACTTTAGCATCTGCATCCACTCAGAACACCCCAAAAACTACTCGGAACACCAAAGCATCCACTCAGAACACCCCAAAAACTACTCAGAACACTATAGCATCCGCATCCACTCAGAACAGCCTAAAAACTACTGAGAACACTATAGCATCCGCATCCACTCAGAACACCCAAAAAACTACTCAGAACACTATAGCGTCCACTCAGAACACCCCAAAAACTACTCAGAACACTATAGCATCCACTCAGAACACCCCAAAAACTACTCATAACACCATAGCATCCACTCAGAACACCCCAAAAACTACTCAGAACACCATAGCATCCATTCAGAACACCCCAAAAAATACTCAGAACACCATAGCAGCCACTCAGAACACCCCAAAAACGAGTCAGAACACTATAGCATCCACTCAGAACACCCCAAAAATACTCAGAACACCCTAGAATCCACCCAAAACACCCTAAAAACCACCAGAACACACTATAAACCATTCAGAACACCCTAGGAACCACCAGAACACCCTAGCAACCACCCACAAACACAATGTAGTGGACGCCAAAACCAGAACACATTTTCCTATCCCTATTTTCAACCTTACCATGCAATGTAATTGTTATACTATGGTACTTTGAAATATACCACGGTATTTACATGAGACACCAAACATATTATGGTTTTTACTGTGGTTTTAGACTTCACACCAAGCAAAAGTGATGGAAAGCAGCCTCTGTCTCGATGCTGAGAGACTGAAATTAAAATAAGAGCGAGACACTGAGAGTGAGACTCAACATCTCTCTAAAGGCTGATTATTACATTACAGGCCAGAAAATGAGAAAAGCTGAGTTGAGTTTTGAGTTGGCAGTATTTCTGCTGTTTTCAGATCCTCAAATAAAGTGTCACAGAAGCAGAGGAGCCCAGCACTGAGCTCAAATCGCATGGAAATCGCTTAATTACTTCAAGTTCAGAGCATAAGTCCAACTCTCATTAAGAGTAAAATGCGACTGTGTCCATTCATCCATAATGTCTTTAATGGCATTCATTGCCTAGATTAAATTTCTCTCGAGGTTATCAAACCCCTGTAGGTTTAAAACACTCTCAGCAGCAGTTCTAACACTTTCACACATGATTTAGGATATATTATATACCTATTAAGGGAGTTGAGCCATAAATTTGGTTTTATCTTTACAAATAGTCTTTGTCTTTGGACCAAAATATAGTGTCTTAAACAAGAATAAAATAGTGTTAATTAATTATTTTTTTGTTGGTAAAGCTAAAATGGCAATTTGGCTGACAAGAAAGAATAAAACACTCCTTAATGGGGGTACTGATCCTTTACAGATGTTTAAAGTGCCCCTATTATGCCATTTTTAAGGTTGCTAATATTGTTTTATGAGTCTCCTAAAACAGGTTTACATGCATGCAAGGTCAAAAAACATGTTCATTTTCTCAGAAAATAGATTTAATTTTACCTAATTTCTAAATGATTCGTAAACGACTTGTGCGAAGCAGTTCAAAGAATCAGTCTCTCTAAACCCCTCCTTTCCGTGAGCCCTCACTGCTGTGATTGGTCAGATGGCGCAGTCCTTTGTGGTTGGTCCAGAGCCGTAGAGAGATGGGCTCTGGATTGGTCTACCGTGTACAGCGCGTGCCGGAAACGAAACGCCCATTGCCATGACGGAATGACAGCCTGGAGACTTGTCAATACATGGAAAAGGTCGTTTCGATTGTACCTTACCAATTCGAGCCGGAGTCTGATGATGAAACGGTTGATCTGGCTGATCGACAAGAGACTGATTCGCAAGCAGGACTTTCTCAGTGGTAAGTGTCAAGTGTTAACAAGTTTGTGGTAATTAGGGTTGGGTATCGTTTGGGTTTTTTTCGATACCGGTGCCAAATCGATACTTTTAAAACGGTTCCAGTGCCTGAACCGATACATATTAAATAAATGAATAAATAAAAATTCCACAAAAATGATGGATTGGCCATTAGCACTATAAACACATGATGTCTGTTTCATTCATACTGGACGCCAGAGGGCACCCTCGCACAGAAAATCCACATATCCAGTCACAGAAGTAGCGGAACTCATGACCCTCCAGGAAATCCCTTATATGTTTTTTTTTTTCAGTCTATGGGATAAAGGCATGGCTATTATAGCTGTAACTGAGTAAACAGAACATATAAACGTTTTGAATGATAAAATAAAGACAATAAACACTCGACTGCGACAATATAGTTTATCTGTGTTATTCAAGCCATCTCTGGTATTTTCATAATAATTAAGTATATTTATAATCTAACTAAATAAACATATTTTCTGCCTCATTCTGTGACAAGAAGCCACATCAGATCACAAAAGGAAGAATTTGACTTGTGTTGTGGAGTAAAAAGGTTATAATGTTCTCTTTTGTTGGACAACAGGTTTAGAAATGTGAATACAAGGGAGGTTTAGCTTTTAAATGCCTAAAGCTAAACCTCTCTTGTATTCACATTTCTAAACCTGTTGTCCAACAAAAGAGAACATTATAACCTTTTTACTCCACAACACCAGTCTTTGTTGGATTTGTATTATTAGAGCTTTCCGACTTGAGTTCATGGGGCATTTTCTCAGTCGGGAAATTATTTTGTGCCGGAGATGATGCTTCTTACATCTGTTTCGGAGAAACAGAGGACAAATATTTCAATCGATCGCTCAGGCATGGCACCGAAATGAGCTACGAAAATCTGCGTTCTGATTCGGTTCTAGTACATACCGTTCTAGTACATACGGTTTCGGTACCCAACCCTAGTGGTAATTATAAGATGTGATAAAACAAATTTACTCTCACAGCATAGGATACAGCGTCTTCTTGACATGATGTTAACCACACAGAAATGTTACTGTGTTTGTGGGCAGGCAAGTTGGCGATGTAGAACGTGGGCGGATATTATGCAAATGTGTTACTTCGTGACGTAGAGCCATAACGGAATAAGATTCGAATTCCTGACGACTCGTTTAGGCGACTCTTATTTTTGATAGACAATACCTTTATTTATCGTGCACTGTCGGCTTCACAACTTTGCAGATAGTTTATGTTCACATGCAGCTGCATGACACACTGCATGAAAGGTAATATTCGAAAAGGCATAATAGGGGCACTTTATGGCTTTGGTAAAAAGAGGGTTAATTTTGGAGTATAAGTTCTATGAATTAATAAATGACATTGACTCCTTTTTTCTTTGTGGGGTACTGAAAGTATTTTATGTCAACCCTGTGAAGAGGTAATGGAATTGATTTTTTATGCATATGTGTATATATAGCCTTAATATGTATACGTAGGCAGTCTAAATGCATTTATAATATGTATCTATATGTATATTTATAACTGTTTGTAAATAAGAGTTTTAAAAGTCTCTCTGTATTTCTCTCACTCAGCCTTTCAAAGCTTTTCCACCCTCTGGAAAATTACAGTCGTCTCCTGGATATCTCAGCAATGATGTCCAATCACTCCACCGTGCCGAAAACAACCACAAGAACACAGGCAAACCTAATCCAGTCACAGCACGACATAACAATAAATTCATGCACTAACCTGTACTGTTTATGCGTGTTGTAATGCCCCGCATTCGTTTCTCGGATCTTCGTGGCCAGAACACGTACGATATTTACAAAAAGAAAAAAATTCAGCTGCAAGAAAGAAGGAAACAAGGATTCGTTTAAAATGATGTTGTTTCATAATTCATTTGACTAAAGGGTCAAACACATTCGATAAAGATGTAAAATAAAAAATAATATATGTTTATAATATACATCATCAAAAATACTATTTATTAAACAATACTAATACTATTAAGACACTTAATATATATATATATATGTATAGCTTTTTAAAAATACATTACATATATAAAATAAAAATATTTCAAAATATATTTTATATATATTACATTATTAAAATTACATAATATTATATTTTACATAATATATTTAAAATAATTTTCCCGTTGGACAACATAATCTCCACTATAAAAAATGTGGACAGTCTAAAAATAATGAAATAATAATCAATTAATAATTATGACAGTCCCTCAGACAGTCCCTTCTATAATTACACAATTTTAGTAATATTTTTTTAAATTACTGAGATAGAATTAGATGAAGAAAACAAATAGGTAAATATTACCTTTGAAAATACATTTTTTATTGTTGTGTCGTTTTCCAGTCAAGCTGTTATTTTGTCAAATTGGGCAAAAAGTGTGAAAATATTATTTAATTGTTTGTGTTTAGGGACAGCTATAAAATAACCATTAGCAGGACAATTAAGCAATTTTATTCCAAAAGTGTTTAAAATGTAATTTCCACTCTAGACATTAACCGAGATGTGGCGGAAATGACAAAATTCTCCTTTTGGACAATTTTAATAAATTAGTGCGAGTGAGGAAAAAGTGCAAAAAGTTCCCTAGTTTAACTGATAAAATACTCATTTCATTCTGCTTGTATTTTTCCGCTTGGGAATTATTCTGTCAATGCGTGATGAGCTTCTTTCGCATCTGAGCCGCGAAAGTTCCAACAGGTTTACACATTCCTCTTTACTCTATTTAGACATCATAATCAATACACCATAGAAATTGTTAGTCATGAGCGCTTGTGCGCAAATTCATCCACGTGTGTTAAGTCCTAATTTATATATATTTATATGTTTTGCTGACAGGACAAAAAAACATTTGCATTTCTGTCGCATAATTACAGCTCTCCTGGTGCACAACGGTCCAGATGTTCTTAAAATGGAGCTCCATTACTATGGCAAGCGCTCATGCTCGGCAAAGCTGATAATTAACAGCATAATTTTTCCGTCTGCCCATCCAGCAGATAAATATATGCATGCAACAGCTAACTGGTCAATCATATTCAGTCGCATCACGTCAACAAACGACAGCACGCTGCTATCCAAATCGACCCTTTGACACACTGGATTATGGGACTTTGACAAGCTCTTTCAGCGCGTATCATGTTCAGAGCACGGGGTCGAATTCGGGGTTAATGGGAAGACAGCTGCATCTCTTAACAACTGCTTTGATGGCGCTTTCCACCAATAGCCTACGGTGCAATTTGGCGGCCCATGAGGCACCAGTCCCATGTTTTGCAATGAGAACTGTTAGATAGACTATTATCCAACAAACAATTAACCCAAAATGAGTAGTTAGTTTTAAACATCTCAAATTTTTCTAGCCCACTGTAGCGAATCAGCTCATGGGGAAATATGAATAATTAATCATAACTAGTTATAATTAATTATAAATATTTAGATCCGCTGTAGATATTTACTTGACCTCTCAGGGTCAACTGTCTTGTCAATTCTAAGAACGTTAATTTCCTGGTTAAGGGAAATAACTTTCTTACTGTACAACTCTACAAAGAGCACATCCTGGCACCCAGTTTATTGGGTGAGGGGACTGTGACGATTTGTTAATCTAATGAATAACTGATTTGTTAAATCAAATGAAAATTGTGTTTTTGATTGGTCCAGACGCTACACCCACCATCCTGAAAATGGTTGTTTTGGCTTGTCCCATCACAGAAGTCTTGACCTTCTCGACTGAATCCATCAACTAAATCTTTTTGTCTAAATCTGCTCATTTCATCGTAGTAAAATAATTGATAAAGTCCTGTCATAATGTGTTGTTTCAGACTAGTGTCAAGTTAAGACAAGTCCTGTCAAGTCACCTTTATTCCTATAGCGCTTTATCCAATACAGTTTGTTTCAAAGTTGCTTCACAGTTATAAACAGGAAAACAGCTGAATCAATTATGGAAACCCAGTTGTCGAGGCAATTAAAAAGACAATAGTGTCATTATTTAGCTCAAGTCAGTTCAAAATAATATAAACCGATTCATAACAGAGTAACAAGAGTTGTAAATTTAATCTAAAGTTAGTTAGCTAGTAGTTTGGGGCCAAATGTTGACTGATAGTTATTGGTAAACATATATTTCACATAAATTGACTTTTAAGATTTCAAGCATATTTTTAAAGGGTGATTTCACAAAATCATCATAAATTCAGTAGCACTTAGATACACCAAACTTCTATATTCTGAAGGTTTTTACTGAGGGGTTTGTTCATATATCATCTGTCTGATTTTGTAACAACATATTAAGAAATATCCAAAATACCCTCTGTAAAAACTTTCAATCTAATATGTCAACAAAATGAAAGAGAATTTTGAAACAGACTTTAAACAATGTTCAGGTTTCTGTTCTGGAAATGTATTCAAATTGGTGCATATTTAATTAGATATTGGCTCATTTGCATATTTCAACAGAAAGATTTGTAGAAAACTTGAAAAAAAAAAAGTTTGCAATTCTTGGTCATATCTATTAGTTGCATTCTTACCCTATTCACCTTAGTTATTGACAAATTTTAATAACCAAAACATTCCTTAAAATTGTGACACTTAGGAAGTGACATCATTTGCATGTCAGGAAGTAAATTGTAGTGTTGACTGTATTCGCCAAGCTCAAGCATTCAACTTAATTGTTTACCAATAACTATCAATCAACATTTGGTCTTAAACTAGCAAGCCAGCTTAATACTTTATACCCTTAATACCCTGTTACTTACAAACATGTTTTTATTTATTTATTTATTTTATCCTTTGAATCTGATACTTAATTTTTAAGTATACACACACACACACACACACACACGTATATATACGGTATACCTGTTTTGTATACCATGCATGAAATGTATGTTATTGTTAACTAAAACTAAAAGTACTAAAACAAATAATAATAAAATATAAATATTAGATTAAAAACTTAAGTTGAAGTACTAAAATTACTAAAAAATAAAATAAAAACAAATAAATTCCAAATAGAAATATTAAATCAAAATTCAAAATATTAATAAATACTATAATGGTATATCAATATACTATAATGGTATATACTATAATGGTATATCAATATAATATTACAACAACAACACTCAATGTGTCTAACAGTTTAGTTTCTGTTTGTTGGTAAACTGCCAACCAACTCACCCCAATTGCTGTCAGTATCGGAACTTGGTAAATCCATTTAATATTGCCTGCGCTCAACTCCCAACACCTTAGGGAGAAAGACCGAAATCTTATATTACATTTTATATATAGAACAGCTTGTGTGTGTCTCTCTCTGTGTATAAATGTGTGACTTTTACCTTACTGAGAATCTGGATCACGTACGGGAAACTCACCTTACATCCACCAGCGTTGCCCTGACGACAGCCCAGGTTGATACAAAGAGAGCGGGAACACCTGCGGTCACACAAATTAGAAAATGACAAGATTTATCAACTGTAATGCAGCATACAAGCACAGAAGCATGTCCAACACTTGCCACAAACTCACCGGAACAACACAATTTTCTATTTGTTTGATTTTGAACTGATGAGATCCGACAAGTCAAAAGCTTTGCGAAAGTCTCCTTGACCCTCCTGATCATAAATTAAATGTAAAGTCTATAATTTCTGAACACTCACCTGCCATTGGTCAAAAAAAAAAACATAGTTCCACCCTAATCTCACACTATTTAAAAAAAGCATTTTTCATTAAAAATAATAATAAAATAATAATTATAATAATATCTATTTAATAACATTCTTAAATGTTTTTTTTCATATACTAAAAAAAATAAATATCATTACACAAACATATATGATTAGAGTGTTTTAAATAATATTCATATGCATAAAATGATAAATATTATATATATTTTAAATATATAAATAAAAACTGAAAAATGAAATAATACATTATTATACATTTTATGTAATATATGCCATATTCTGACAAAAAATATCATTACACACATATATATATATACCTTGTCTATAGCCTCTTATATCACAGGTTATTGCTTCAATTTTCTTTTATCACAAAAACACGCTTTGCAGAGAAATACTGATGGTTTATTTAAAGCTGCCACTGCGCATTATATAGAGATAGTATTTTAATATTGAGAAAATTACACTTCGACTTTCAGATATTAATGATCTGGCTGTAAAAACCACGCTGAGAGTAAGAACCAGCGGGCACTGATTTATGATGATGTGTCTCCCTAAACACAGAGTTTATTAATTATGAAAAAGCCAAAAGCAGACCTCAGCAAACAAGTTCCAGCGAAATGTTTTTGATCTGATGTTTCAGAGTGCTTGAATATGAAAGTTTAACCCTCATTAGGTGGCTACTCTACTGCAAACACATTGATGCCAGGAACATTAATTATGCATTATTGATTATGATGACACATTAATATGTTCGGAAGATCAATATGTTGCTTAAGTAATGCACATTATCAATGACTTTGAAGTTGTTACTTCTATGTCATTGTTGGTCTGTTTAAAGTAGGACAAACATGGGCTTCTCTGTCGTTTAGCTTTCAACAAAGTATCTAACAATGCGGGAACCTTCCCAAAAGTATTTGCACTTCAAAGGTGTCTGTTTAGCTTGCCTGGCAAGTATTATGCATCAAACATAAAGTATGAATAAATAAGGCTTCAAGTAAGTGTTGCTGCCTCAAAGGACACCAAAACGATTCGACTGAGATTCTTGAAGGCAGATGTAACACAAGCCTCAGATGAGAATTATCATAACAAGCTGTGAAATTGGTTAGGTTACGTCTGGGCAGGGTAAAATAAACAATGTTTAAAAACAAAATCAAATACTGATTGATCTTAACATGTGCACTTACCCCACCCTATGAGAGTGAAACCCCAAAGATATTTGGAGTCAGAGAAGAACGCCATGAAAATGAGACTGTGAAGGTACAGGCCCTCCACTAGGATCCAGTAGTAGTTAGTTGCCAGGAAATAAATGAAGAATAGGACTGTGATCTTGCACCCAACCTGAAAGTACATACAACACAGGCTTCAACCAATCTGGATTCTCAAACCGTGATCATTCAGCCAATCACAGCAGAACCATTCATTGTCATGCAGCCCTTTAGTTGGAATGAATGTATTTACAAGATGAATGTGCATGAATTACACCACAATGGCATATTTAACAGTCGGAAACTCTTGGGAGATTGTCAGTAAAAAACACTGGTCATGCTGGAAAAACATTGGGAATACAAATAATTGTACAGTATATTGTAGAAACTTGTTTTCGCTACTGAATACAAACAAATAAAATACTTTTTATCACACAATTCTGACCTTTTTCTCTGAACTGTGAAATATAAACTCACAATTGTGAGAAATAAAGTCAGAATTGCGAGATATTAATTCGAAATTGTGAGTTATAAAGTCCAATTGAGATGAAAAAATGTCAGCTCACAATTCTGACATTTTCTTACAATTGCAACTATTGCAACTATTATTATAACTTGCAAATTCGCATTTATGTCTCAATTCAGAGAAAAAAGTCAGAATTGTGAGATGAAAAGTCACAATTACCTATTTTATTTTTTGTTCAGTGGTGGAAACGAGCTTCTATAGTACTTTGAGTCCTGACCACACCATTTTTAATATTTTGGCGTGAACAATCATGGTCATTGATATTGTCACTACGATTTATTGTTTTTAAGGTCCAGCCACATTAGCAAAATTTCAGCAAAATAACGTTAGCCTTATAACCTTATTGTTAATGTAGCAATGTATGAAGCAGATTTCTGTTATTCAACATGGTGAATTTGCTTCAACAACTTGCAAAATTTGTGACAGGAAATCTTTCGCCCTAACGCGAAATTCCTGATCGTGTAGATTCCAATTGAAATGACTAGATTTTGTTCATGAAAATTTTATGACTAGTGGTAAATATGGCCGCACTTTAAACGTTAACCTCACTAACAAAATTACTAGCAACAATGTTAACTGATGAAAAGTTTTTCGATTTCATCAACAACAACAAAGGCGTAAAAAAAATGCATTGTGATTATCAGTAAACTATTTTAATTAAAACATACTGTTGCCGAAAATATGCTGAAAATGTTACACATTAAAACATTAACAATGCACTAACAATATTTTTAGAAAAAATATTTTCTACTTTTATTTTCCCAAGAAAAAAATGAAAATTAAAACTCGTACAATTTAATTTATATATTACATGTACAAATAGTTAGCATTTTGTGTACTGTTGATAAAAAAAAATTAAAGTTCATCAGAAAAATAGTGCTAATATAGTCATAGTGCTAATATATGTCATAACATGAGGTGACTGGATTGTAGGACAAAAAATAAATAAATAAATAAAATAAATGTCCCATCATTCCCAGTAGCTCAACAGGAATGGTAAAATATACCGATGCAATATTAAATCCACATTTGCTGCACTCTTCATTTTGCTGCATTATTTCTGAAACCTTTATCTTAAAGAGAATAGAAAGAAATGTACGTTTAATTTCAATCACTTGAACTCAATACAGTAGTCTCTAATACATTTCAAACATTGCAATTTATTGTTAAAGCCTGTGCAGCGCAAGAATGACTGAATCTTTGATGACCAAGAACACTCAACTCATATCAATGGAGAGAAAAGTTAACTTAAAGTCCCCATGAAATCAAAATTAAAGTTTTTTGGGTGTTAGTATCAATATGTTAGTCTTAAGGTTATCTATAAGGCAGTGTGCTCCAAAACAGTGACAAAATTCGCATTTAGAAGATATTAGCATTCAAAGCTTGCAGTTCGTCACTTCCGCCAAAACGGCTCAACGATTTTTTTGACGTCACATCGTACTTCAGCTTCTCATCAAACTTTCTGTCCAATCAAATGCTCTCTAGAATCCGAAGCGCCCGCCCCCTACACTATAAAATAGACGCTGAAGCCGCGGCTGAAATCGGTCACTTGTCCACAGAATTAGTATTTTCTGTACAGTGAATGGCACGTAGTGCACTAGCCCAAGCTGTGATATAAATGAACACTATTGGCTATTTTAAAAAGGGGCGGGGCTGCTTGATATGTCCTGCCCTGTCTTCCTGTTTCAGTTAAAATGACGTCAACACATAGAGTAATGCTGCGTGTTTCTAAGCATTTCAGGGGACCTTTAATTTAAGTTAACTAAAGGTAATTAAAGTCATTTTAGCCAAAACTAGTTCAGCTGAGAAAAAAAAAAGGACATTAAACCTGGCCAGGTTAATCGATGTATCTCATTCACTGCACTCACATACTGAGTCTTGTCAAGAGGGGAAATGGAGACAGTGCTGATATTGTCCATTAGCATGGTGTCGTACTCCTGTAGCACGCCATTAGCGTACACCACTCTATCTTTCACGAAGATGCTGACAGCACGCAGCATGAAAGACACAAAGAGGTGCATGTGGATGTAGTTTCTGGTGCAGTGGAGACGCCTGGGAGACAAAAAGAGAGAAAATTTCAGCTAATCACAGGGGAATCGTGTCAATTTTGTCCTTTATCCCCTTCAAACCGGCATGAATAACTGTCATTTCTGCCACATTTCAAATCACCGTTCATCCTGTGATGGTTGTGGAAATGAAATTTCGAATATTTATGGAATAAAAAGGCAATTTTTTTGTCTTGCTAAGGCTAATATCCAGTTAAGATATTCTGTTCACAACTGACATATCTCATATTTCATCTCAAACTCTTAATTGACATAGTTGTCTTCTTGGAAATCTAAATAAACAAAATAAATAAATACATACATACATAAACAAACAAACAAATAAATAAATAAATTGTTTGTTTGTTTGTTGTGATGGATTTTTTTTCTTTTTTTAGAAACTGAAATAAATTATTTGCAAAAAATATTGAAATATGTTATGTTTATTTCACTCTGTTTATATTATCAATTTAATAATTAATACTTTTATGATGGATTTTCATATTTAAAGATTGAAAGTCTGGGACTACAAAGGTGTATGGCAATAAAATAACATCATATGCATAAATTACATTTGAAAAGTAACAAAAATAAAAAACAAGTATGGTAAAAAAGTTTTCAAAGACAGTTTTGAGTTGACCTTCATATTAGTGTTGTTTTAGTATCATTATTATAGTTACACTGTTAATATTTTGAATTTAGATATTAGATTTTTTCTGTTTTTAATTAGAATTTTAGTTAATTTTTTTATTTTATTTTGTTGTGTGTTTTTGTCATTTTAATTGTAAGTTTTCCTTTTTAGTTTTAGTTTATTGACATTTAGTTATTTTACTACTTCAACTTTAAACTAAACAAAATGAGAAATGTTGCCCTGTGAACTAGCTGAATATTTTTTATATATTTTATTTTATTTCAGTTAATGTTTATTTTATTTCAAGTAATTAATTTGTTTGTGGTATTAGTTTTGCTACGTTTGTTAAAAAATATATGATAATAATTATGCATAAATGTGGACCCAACAACATCCTTCACAATTAGAAAAAGTAAAGTACAAGTAGTTCAGTTATAGCAGCAACTCATTGGGGAACTCTTCAGCTAATTTAATGTCTGAAGGTCTTTAACGATGAACACCTAAGACTGTCTGAATCATCCTGCTTGAGTCCCTCAACAGCAGCCACTTGTGCGGAACAAGTTCAATTTGTTTGCTTGCTGTGCAACTTCATAATGAATACATGGAATTATTAGTGTTTCTTTAACTTGCTGTGTGGGACCAAAATCTGCTGGGAACGGATGTTCAATTACCGAAAATATCCAATGATGAAAATGGCAACCAGCAGCGAGCTGAAGGACACAGCGTAGCCAACTGTGTACATGATGTGCAGCCGCTCAAAAAAGTCCCTCTGGAAACACAACAACACCTGTGTCATCTCAATGAATGCAACTCGACATCCTAAACATTTCCAAAAACTTTTCACTTAATAAACCAGTGGCATTTGAATCTATATTAGCAGCTTCACGGCTTGCGATAAGACTTTGTGTTTGAAGACACCAACTCAACTACATTTCATTGGCCCGTTGTTATCAAAAAGTAACTCTTGAATGATTTCAAAACTTGTCAATAAGACACCACACACTCTTCCAGCCTGTTTAATTGGACGTACTTTGCCTTTTTCAATGCCTGGAGTCAAGAAGTGCAGACAGTCTGAATAATTGACCCAAGTTCTGTTCTCCACCGATACCCACGACCCATTCAAGTCGCACTGACGGTATACAAATCCTAAGAAAACGAAGAAACAGAACAATTTGACTAGATGTTGTTGTATAGAAACTGGTGAAATTTGATCAAATAAGTTTTGCAAGTACCGTTGTGGTTGAAGTCGTACACATAGCTGGGACACAGCACTTTGGTGACTGTTCCTGGGGAACCTCGAGGCCAGCAAACCAACCCGTCCCATCCAGGAGAACAGACCTCATCTGTGTACAAAACCACAATCACACGTTATGGAAATGCAATCTGTGAGTCTGGAAGTTAGGATTCCTGTCGGAAGAAAATCACAGATGAAACTGCTTTAACATCTCAGTTGTTTCTCCTAGCAGTGAAACTAAATAGAGAGCAAATGGATTTTTTTGGCAAACAGTTTCTGCTGCTATATTCTGGTTCTGGCTCCAATTCCCCTGAACGACTCCATTTCATTAATGGTTCCATTAACAATGCTTTTAGTACTTTTGAGGAAGAAATCCCCAAAAAATTAACAGAAATCCAATTCCACTAACAAATAATAAAATAATTGTAATAGTAACATTTAAATGTATGCATAGCAGATGCCTTTATTATTGTAAGAGCCAAAATATTCATACAATACAATGCCAAGTTTATTAGACAACTAGATCAACAAGCAAACTAGAGAAGATGAGAAATGCAGATCAGAAATAAAGTAAATATGTACAGAGAAATAACACATATTAGTGCTGTCAAACGATTAATCGCGATTAATCGTTTGACAGCACTAATACATATGTACAGTATATTGCCTTCTTAACCTTCTTAAGTCTCAGATACCACACATGCTTTTCGAAAATATCTCAACAATATCAGATTTGTCAGCAGTCAGAGAGAATATCATCATATGACATAATTTCATCAACTTCTTCCAGGAGTAATGATCTGAACTCTATAGTGCTATATGCTATGTGCTATGCTATATTGTTCATAAATGAGCAAATTTTCAAAAATTAGTTCTTTTTATTTTCACAATCTCCATTAAAAAACCTCAAAATGGTGTATGATTTGTTGGAATCGACCAAAAAATAAAGTCAAAAACCTAACTAAACTTAAAAAAAGACAAGGTAACAGTTTGAATCTGTCTGACAAGTTAAAATAGTTTGAATTGGAATCGAATCTGTAATCTGTATCCCGGCCCTATTCTAGATGACATTGTGGATAGTATCATGAACAGAAGAAATTCATTCTGTATGTTTCATTGCTGGTCCGTTTCTCACTCAAAAATAAACCTAATTAAAACTGTTAAGAGTCCATTGGGGACTGTCTAATGTAATTATAGTTTCTTTAGTAACAGACGGTAACAGGGTCATCTGAAGTGAGACTTGACATCTCATGCTATCAGAGCATTAAGCATAAAAGCTATATTTGCCTCCGCAATTTTCACACATTTTCCAACATGACAACTAACTAAGCTCCAATACAAAAGATGCATTATTAATCAAACAAATTGCACTTCTCTGCATTTGAAAACAGAACGATTTCAAGAAAATGAAGAAGAATATAAATTATAATCTTGCAAAGTGAACATGAAAGGAATATCCTCAAAGCCCATGGCGACATGAACATTTTATCTTCCTCAAGGCTCATTGATTCGGCGCCTTTGTAAGTCTTCATTCTAAGAGCAAGTATTCCGCCAACCATTGAATAAACCCCTGCAGATCGATGTGTGAAAAGGGCAGAGTCTCTGTATGGAAGCACCACACCAACCGGTCAGTTCCTTGAATGGAGAGGAGAGGCTCAGCATTGCTAAAAGTGCATGATGCTATTTGGAAACTTTATTCAGAGTGAATGAATCAGCGCAGCTCAATTCAACCTGGTGGTTTGCTGATGACGGTTGAAAGAAAGAGCATCAACAAACTTTGTCTGTGCAGTATATCTATTTGTAGATTCCAACGGTCATCAGGTTGAGATGTCACCATGTTGTCTTTCACACTTGAACATTTATTGATTTTTCGGTCATGACTTAATAAACAAACCATTTTCAGTATGATGGAGAATGTTTTCTTTTTTATACATACATATACACATAGGGTGAATTTGAGTTGGGTCACTTTTTGCCAGTTAGCTGACTGGGAAAAAAATGTCCTAACTAACCTTAATTCAGCTCTATGTATAAAACAAACAGAACTGTAATATCAGAGCCCACACATGATAAATTATATTTAGAGTATCTTGAATATTCTGAGAATGTTCTGAGAGTTGCCATGGCAAATGAAATTTCAGCATTCGACAACCTGATGCAAATGACAATGGCTACACTCTAATTAACTCTAATAACCAATATTAGCAAATGTTGTCAAATAAAGGAGAGGTCTTTTGTATAGCCTTTATGTTTACCGTGCCTTTGAAGAGCAGCACAAATATCCAAATGAAAAGAAAATGACTATAAATATAAACCTTAGACAAAAGCAATTTTACAGCAGGTTTAAAATGTATTTAAAAATGTATAACATCTGGTGGGAGCCTTATAATTGGGTTAGGAAATAAAATGGCACGTATATAAAAAGACATATACGGTTTATGCAATCAGGTCCTTGAATATGATTAACTGAGCATAGTTTCAAGAGCACTTATCCACCTCATTTTTAACGTAAGAGCGGATGCAAATGTGCGAGGCTTCCAGTGTTTGATTCCAGTTATTTTATCTGTAAAAAAACAGCCCGCTATGCTGCTTGATAGCTTGATAGTAGTATTTATGATTCACGGAATGTCATTTTTTTTGATTGATGACTTTGACATTTGACCCTCCCCCTTAGGGGTTAACCTTATGACCTTTTTAATGACCGTGATTAACCTGTGACCTCATCAATGAAGTAGGATATTGTCCTTTAATGTTCGGCGGATGTTCAAATGCCATCTGTTTGTAGCATATATCCGGGAGTGACATAATTAACCTGTGACCTCTATCATGAACTAGGATATTGTCCTTTAATGTTCGGCGGATGTTCAAATGCCATCTGTTTGTAGCATATATCCGGGAGTGACATAATTAACCTGTGACCTCGGGATGAATGTCGCTGATTACGTTGACTATTATCGAAATCAGGCCGGCGGTGGATTACCTGGATATGCCGGCGGAGCTGTTATGTACGGGGCAGGCCTAGGAGGTCTTTTCAGAGGGCTGTTTAGGATGGCCGTACCGTTGTTAAAAAAGGGCTTCAGCATAGCTAAACCACACCTAAAAGTGGCTGCTAAAAATATAGTTTCCGACGTCGTCTCAAATGCTATGTCTAGATCGTATAACGATGATCCTAAAGCTCAAGACGGTTCGGGATTCATGGTAATGGCCCGTAAGATATTGTCTAAACCGCCGGGTATAAGGAGGCGTGGTCATTCGATAAAGAAAACAAAGCGAGGGTCCAAGAAGCTCTCAGTTACGCCCAGAAAGCGTGCCGTGACATTTTTTAACAAATCGAGCATGTGTGAACCGGCACTGCTTCACCCTTAAACACAAACTCACCCGAGTCGTTCCAAGCACTGAGGCCTTTAGCTTTAGACATTTTGCACACTTTTCCTTTGGCTGTGTGATAGCCATACGATTTGGGACCACTAGAGGCAAACTCTGTGACGTAATCGTCGTCCCCTATTTCATCCGTCAGCTCCCCCAAATGGTCCCCCAGAGGGGGTATCCAGTCGCCGTCCCTAGACACGAATATAACAGAGTCGGTATCGGAGTATAACACCCGGTCGCCGAGTCTGTCCATCAGGTCGTACAACTCCAACCGGGCGTGAGCCGTCGTAAACGCCCCTATAAACACGTTAATGTTGCGAGTCTCACAAACATCCCCTTCGGGACGACAATGCTGGACGAGAGCCACGTCGTCTGAGACGAATGTGAAATATTTCAGGATATCGGTCTTACCAAAAATGATTTGTGCGAAATCTTCAGGGTCTTTCACGAGCAGGGTTTGCGGTAAATGTTCGCGCATAGAAAATCGTCCCCATAACGAATTAAGAAGCAATTTATTGATAGACCTCTGGGCGAGGTTGTGACTGATTTTTTCGGGGTCAAGTTGGATCCCCTCTTTTTCATAATATTCAATGATGTAATTCTCTTTGTCCACGTCCGAGACTACGTTTGACGGGAAACCGGACGCTTGCTGTTTCAAACGTAAAAACGTTTTCACGTAATCGCAAAACAGCGTATCTGACCGCTGTGGGAAATGCCACACTTCGTCGACCTTTGCCACCACGTACCCCTTCTCGATCGCTTTTAAAAGTTCGATGCTGACCCAGCACCCTGAGAGAGCCCTCTCCTCGTCCATGTGCGTGCAACTCGTTGTCTGGTTTTCAGTGCGTGCGCATGTTCGGCATAACGGGAACATTAGTTTCCCGCCGCAGCGGTAAGGTAAAACCGGATGTAGTAATTTGCGTGGAGGGTACACGGTGGCCTTGATAAGACCGTAATAATTCTCAATCGGTTCAAAGTCACTGAAAATTATCTCGGGGTGACCGATCGGATAGCTTTTCCTGGCCTGGCAGAACGGATATAAGCTGGTGAAATCGACATAACTTATTTTCTCCCCATCGACCGTTTTGTGGTACAGCTTATAAGCGTTCGTGCGTCCACCAAAAAGCGAGTCTCGGGGTTTCAGTCTCTCGGGGGCCGAATAAATACTCATAAATTCTTTCACCGAGGGGTCAGTCTGTTTCATTTTCAGCCACTGACATTCCCATAAAATTTCCACTTTTACCCCGTAGGCATTTTGCAGAATTTCCTCTTTGTCGTCAGACTGTCTCCTGAGTTCACCGTAGGGTACATGCGACAAGGGGTGCGTATGATCGGGGTCGAAGCGACATTCGTGTCCATGATGGAGACATCCGAGGTATTCTAAACCATACCTCGATCCGTTCTGTTCGTAGTAGCCGTCTAAAAAGTAACGACCGATCTGCATCTCGCCGTGGTTTAGAGCGTGGTGAATGTCGACGTTTCGGGTCTTTTTTACATATTCCAGCCATTCGATCGAACCGTTTGAGTAAGTCACCAATAAATATAATTTAAAATCATTTAATAGCTCAATATAAAAAAACAGTCAGTGTGTTTGCTCATTTTATGTAAATAATTTACAAACTAGATATTTGTGAAATCATATATATATATATATATATATATATTATTACTAATCACTATATAATGTATAACAAAAAATAAAATCTTTGTTTTGGAACTCTGATGCTGCTATCACTATCTCCCTGTGATTAAACCGTTCCGGGCGTGTGACAATATGCAGAAAATGATATAAAACACAATATTGCAAACTGTTATCATATTATTTCAATTCAATGTCATAATCTAGACACACTGGTTTTGATATAGTGCAAATAGTTTTACCGTTTGCTGCACTTTGTTATTCTTAGTTATAAACCAATGAATCGGAAGTCTCGAACATTCAAAGAAAATATTTACTCTAGCTTACTTCTGTGTTGTAAAAAGTGGTTAATATGTGTAATGTAATATGTGTTCTTGTGGTTCAGTGGTAGAGCATTGCGTTAGCAGTGCAAAGGATCGTGGGTTCAATTCCCAGGGAACACTCATACTGGTAAAAAATATATAGCCTGAATGCACTGTAAGTCACTTTGGATAAAAGCGTCTGCTACATGCATAATTATTATTATTATTTTTTTTTTATATTCCAGCCGCACTGTGTCAGTTTGGTATGGCTTGTCTGCGTTTTTAGTGACTCTTTCTGCAAGGTTCATAGTTAAGCCAATAGGTGGCGACACTAACCTCAGCTAAATCATTCCAAATTGATTAATTAATTCGAATCAACTCGACTGAGTCAATAGGTGGGTTTACATTGGTTTAAAAGTCCAATCTGAATGAAAATGCTCCATGTAATCACCTCAATCGGAATAAAAATGCCCAAAATGCCCGAAATTTCAATTGGGTTGAGACTGAGTGGGGTGGGATAAACCTTTTTTAATCAGTTCGATAGCACATGTAAACACCTGATCGGGTTGAAAACCGAAACTGGAAAGTTTTGCGTGTTTGCAATGATGTAGAAATGTTGTAATGACGCATGATGCACGGAACGAGCCGCTGTCGTTGTTGTTGAATATAATAAATGACTGTCGTGTCGATCTAAAATTCTCTTTACACTCATCGCCTGTGAAGTGGTGCAGGATAACGTTGTGCCACAGGTGCTTGCTACAAACTCTCATCTGCAGATGTCTTGTTTTGGGTCTGGGAATGGCTGTTTTTACCGCTTGATTAATATAAGCATCATTGCACAAAGCTTCATGCTGTTGTCTCTTAATTAGGACCTGAAATAGATAAATAAGTCCGCTTTTTAAAACAAAGAAAAGGAGGATGTTAGCATGCAAACACAGTGGGAAACTCTTTATATTTGTGCAGTGTGCGCATGTCAAAATATTAAATCTGATTTAAAGCTTGTGACATATAAACGTGCACATCAATGCAACCACTTTATTTAGTGTTCTTGTAAATACTATGTTCGGATTCATGAAATCATTCCGATTGAAACAAAAAGTGTCCATGTAAACGTGGCTAATGAGTCATTCACTCAACTGATTCATTCAAAAACATGATAGATCAAAGAATGAACATGGGTCTTGTGGTTGAGTCATTGAGTCAATGAATCATTCGAAACACAGTTCAATCTGGTTTCTCTTATTTTAAACAAGGTTGAAATTCTTACACCACACAGCAACAACATCATTTCCTTTATTTATAAACAAAGATGAAGGTAATATTTTTGTGATGCTATACACTACAGCGTTCTATGCAGATCAGGAACTTGCTGGATTTTGTAAATGCACAGCGTCTACAGCTCATAGTGTGCGAGAACTTGGAAGTCAAACTGTGTTTTTGGAAAATAGTTTTCATAAAGATGTGGGGAAAAACACTTTATCAAGGAAATGTTGCGGACATTGTTATGTCTCAAGCACAATTTAATCAACATTCAATTCTTGTTTATTGAACTGTTGTATAAAAGCAGCTTTGGAACCCAGCTGTAAATAAAACAAAAATGATTGGAGTATGTTTTACAGGAAAACTTCTACTTAAGTCTTTCTACTTAAACATTTCACATTTGATTCAGTGTTACTTGACATTTCTTTGTCACTATTTGTGAAATTTCATAGCAATATCTGTTGTTTCAAAGTAAATCTTACAACAAATTTTTGCTTGCTAGCATTGATAGCATAGCAAGTTTTGCAGAAACTCAAATTTCTTGCTCTCTGAAATTATTTAATTTTTAGACAAACACATTGACATCGGTGTATTTTGTATTCACAAAGTCTGTTAGCACGCCATTTGTGCTTGTTGGATTTGAAAATATTCATCTGTGTTGGATATTACACTGGCATGTGCCAGATTATTAGCTGATAAGAACATTTTGTTGAATAAACTGCATGAAATAGCAAGATTCCAGCTCGGAATATGTATAATCCTGTGCAGCTGACTGGAAGTATCTCGATTCACAGGAGCCTTTATAGTTCAGTGATTATTTATTAATCGATGCGCGGAGCCATCACTGAGTTTCTTGTTTCTGTGATGATTTACATGTGCTTGAATCATCTTCAAGTTCTTAAATCACACCTTCCTCAGCATCCTAATTCAGAATTACGCAGGTGAACCTCTCGCAATCTTAACTGGGTATGCCTGGTTGCACAATCAGCTAACACACGGTTAATGCGAGGACCCACACGTGTAAATGAGGAAGAAGAAATAGCAGGAAAATTGGAAGAAAAACAATAAATGTGCGTCAGCTTCTGTAAACAGCAGGGTGACTCACAAGCCGCACTACACCATTATTCTGTGACATAACGAACTCCCATCAGAGTACAAAAGGATTGGATTGGATGTACATAAGTGGAGTATTTTTGCTGTGGCACATCCGAAAGCAATTGCACTTCAAAAGTTTCAGTTTGCAGCCTTTATTATTGGAATAGATTTTACAAGAAAATCCTATTTCAGTCTTTTTTTCTTCAAAATGTCATCATGTGTAATTCAATGTGTCATTCCTTTGTAATGATTTATGAACTCATAGCAACTTCTGAGTGAAAAATATTAAGTAAATTAAGTAAGTGTTAAGTAAATCCTACACCAGTGAATTCTTGCTCCTGTTGGGATTCAAACCCACAACCTTTTGGTTACCAATCCAGCTTTTTAACAACATACACCCAGCTTGCATTTAAGATGGAAAACTATCACTTTAATGTCTGTAAAAAAAAAAAAAAATCTATCGAATTGGATCAAACAGAATGGAGCCTGCAGGTGTTGTTATAATTAAACGAGGCCAACTAGAAAAGCGGCAAATCCATCACAGCTGATATCGATATCATGCATCAAATTAAATGCAAAGCCGACACATTTTCATTAGTGCCATCATTTGGACTTCACTGTGTGTATATGCTGAGATGCATATATGAGTGGGCAGATATAGACATTACATGACTGTAAGGTAATTCAGTGTCTAAATAAATCCTCAAAGCAGAGAGACCAAAGGCACTTGGACAGGAGCAAGAGACATTCAAGCTCAGAAACCACATGAACCAACCAAAGATGTGAGATTCTTCAGCTGAAACGGATCTTGGATCTCTCTGGTGGCAGATTTTGACAGATAAATCCTCTAAGCAGATTCTAAAGTCACATTCTGTTCCACGGATTATGCGTCAGATGTGAATTCACATGTAAAAGGCTTTTAAACCAATGAACAAATGAACTAATGACATAAATGTGTTTAAGTGTGAGTCACTTTCATCTTGATCCTCCCATATTTCTATCAGTTATGCAAATGATCTATCCTCTCGGGCTCCACTGAACATCACAATAGAGGGAAAAAGGTTCAGAGGACCAAACAGAATCCACAGGTAAGGTCTTACCGGCAGGACTGTGTTCGGAGATGTTCTGAAGGCACTGCAGTTTGATGTCATACAGCAGGAGAACTTGTTCCTGAGCTGTTAATCCCACTTCAGGGTCCACATGCTGCCCGGAGACAAATACCGAGATATTGACAGCTTGACACGCTTATTTTAGATTTGATTAGAAACCATCCAATCAGATGATTTGGAGGTGTCATGTAGACTTAAAGTCACCAGCAGACCTTCAAGCTTCATTGTTAATTGGAAAAACATGAAGACCATCAAAAGAGTTTTTGCATGTTTGCTTGCAGTTACATTACAATTTGTCATTTGTCAAACAAAACAACACTAAATCCAACAATCCAGCCCTCAGATTTAGCAATATGCCAAATATTTCTGCAACATTTAATACAATTATGTCATATTTACAAATTAACCCCATTCACAACATCTGACTTTACATGACCTTACAATGTTGGTCAGCTTGCCTTAAAATGATTTATGAGGTAAAATCTAAATCAAGTCAAAAAAATATTATTGAAAGTTGATGAATCTACGTTAGGTTATGTCGCTGAAAGTGATTTTAAGAGTTAAATAAGATAAGAAGTTTTCACAATGAACCTGACAGGAAGCTAAACATTTAGATCTGTCAGAGTTATTAAGTCAAACGTTAAAATAATTAATAGCCTAAGTGTTTTGGGCTTCAAATTTAAATACAACCATTAAGCTGAGGTGAAAAGAGAATGAAAAATTGCAACAAATTGTTCGTTCATCTTACCTGTGCTTCGACGGAAGTACCAAGCAAAAATATCCACAGTACTATAATCCACATTTTGAACGGTTTCAGAGCGTTTAAAATACTTGTGTATGTAAATTGACTGTATTTGCTCAGATGATGTGTTCAGTGTTTTCTCAGTGTGTAAAGCTCAGTGTGCTCCGTTCCTGCACCTCCGGTGGTTTTATCCAGCTCCATTTGCACTGAACTCAGCATCTGCAGAAATAGTCCTTCAGACAAACGAGAGAGATGGTGCATCTCTGCGCAATCCACTGGTGGGGTGGAACCCCCTCTTCAAATGACCACGCAAAATTCAAATGAACAACTTTACATAATCACAACTGCACTCAGCAACAGTATTTTTTTTTTCTTCTTCTTGCATTTGTTTATCTGGAACTTGCCAAAAAAACCTTCTTACATAAATCAAGAGTTAGGCCTACTTGGAAAAAAATATGAATAGAAATAGTGTTAACAATAAAATTATATTAATAAAAAAACTGAAATTATATTAACATAAGCGGAGTTTCATTTTTATGCGTGGGGGGGGGGGGCACCCACATAACTGAGAAACTTATTTCTGATGTATACACATTTGATGTGTTCACATTTCACAAGATCCATTTCAGCTGTCACAAGCTGAGGGTGAATCTTAAGGCTTGCGTACATCACGCCTAGTAGAGGACTGATGCTGCTTTTCTCACAACGGAATATTGAGTCACTCACGCCACACTCGAGGCCAACGCTTCATGTGAAAATCGCCTGTCCAATTTAGCCAGCAGAGACTCAATCTACCGCATTTTTATTCGCGGGTTTATTAAAAAATACAACGAATTTCCATAATTCATTTAACTTGCTAAAGCGGGAAAATAATGAAGAGAGTCCTCTCATGAAGCCTATCGCGACAAGTTAAGAATCATGATGAGAATTGCGGCTCGCCAGGATGGGGCTTAAATATCATAGAAATTAATTTAGCCCAAAACGTACTTATTCTATCCACCAAAATAATAAGATAATACAAATAAAATGAGAAAATATTAATTATTTAATTTTTATATTTTATTCATAGCTCAGACAAAATCATGATTGTCCCCCCCAGCCCCCTCTAAACTACGCCTATGATATTAAATTATTTTAGTATTTTTAATCGCACTGCACGCCGACAAATCGTAAGTACCTATTTATCACTTTAAAGGGATAGTTCACCCAAAAATGAAAATTTGATGTTTATCTGCTTACCCCCAGGGCATCCAAGATGTAGGTGACTTTGTTTCTTCAGTAGAACACAAATTATGATTTTTAACTCCAGCCGTTGCAGTCTATCAGTCGTATAATGCATGGCAATGGTAACAAAATCTATGAGAGTAAAAAAAACATGCACAGACAAATCCAAATTAAACCCTGCGGCTCGTGATGACACATTGATGTCCTAAGACACGAAACGATCGGTTTGTGCGAGAAACCGAACAGTATTTATATCATATTTTACCTGTAATACATCACTACGTCCAACTGCTTTGAGTGCGCACGGCATCCGGTGCGTGAGGTGTGTATGCGCTCTGGCGTAGTTTACGTTAATGGGTGTGTTGATATCCAGCCGAAGAGCAATCAACCATAACTTCAGGCGAGCAGGCTCAGAAGTTGGGAATACGTGGAAAGTCACCACTCCCGAATGAGTTCGGCTGGAGTTAAAAATCTTCGTTTGTGTTCTACTGAAGAAACAAAGTCACCTACATCTTGGATGCCCTGGGGGTAAGCAGATAAACATCAAATTTTCATTTTTGGATGAACTATCCCTTTAAGTTAGCCAGAGTGCAATAAATAGGCTAGAAGCTTGCAAGAAGTTACGTTCAGAAGATAACCATAGTAACCGTATGCCGTTCGAACTAGAGACCTGCACGGGACGGATTTTTCAGTCCCTCTCCTGCAGAAAAAATATCTTATCTGGCCCCCCTCCCGCCCGTGACATTCATATTTTGTCGAGCCCAGTCTCATGAAAATGCGTATAAATAGTACGCCAAATAAAAACGAAAACTCGTGGTATTGATACGCAAAAATA